GGTTTTACTCAAGTCTGTCTGGTAATTACTACATTTAAAAATAAATATTTAGGACTGTGCATGTGCTTCTACTAGCAGCGTGTGCGTGCGCTTCCACTAGCGGAGTTTAAATGCCTGACTGGCCAAAATGGGGTACTTTGGCCACGACGACCTTACTCATGACTGGCACAAACGGGGCACTTCGGCACTTAAAGGTTAAGCTTTTAATTGGCTTCCTCCTAATATAAGGAACTTGGCTCAAGATGTTAAACATTTTAAAATTGTTTTAAGAAGATTTTTGTTGATGAACTCGTTTTATTCCTTGGAAGAATACTTTGATTGTAAATTTGACTCCAATAATGAACTGTGATCTATTATGGTATTGAATAATGTAATGAATCTTATATTGTTATTTCCATGTAGTGTTATTTGTACTATCAATGACTAATTCCTTATCCTATATGTAGTGGATTTATGGAATGTAAATAAATGAGAATGAGTTGTAATTGTTTCTACTGAGAATGAACAATGAATGTTGAAAACAGTTCCTTATATCTGCTTTTGGTGCAAGTTGTGAAACATGGATGTGACTTGTAGGAGTCTTCATCCAGCAGAATGTCCTGTAATGTAAGCTTGTCTGGGAGATTTAGCTGCCTTATGTCTCTGCACCTTTCATATTGTAACCCCCGCATTCACTCATGATGCAACAGTGAACACAATATTTAATTTTTCACTCTTTTATTCTTTTATCTGTCTCAGGTGTTCATGATGCCACAGAAAATATCACCCCTTTCTATAAGCAATGATTTATTTCCCTTGTTTTTCACAAAAGAAAAAATGCATTCAGAATAACGTAAGATCTGACCTTTCAAAATGAGGTTGGTCCAGTTGGTCAGCATATTTATGACTGTCAATACAGAGTTCACCATTGGTGGTGAACAGCCACTGAGAACTGTGAGCAGTTATAAGAGCTGGATTTCTAATAGCAAAGAATGCACATGGAGAATATCTGCACTCTACTGAAGTATGCCTCTTAAATGCTTACAACAAAAAACAACTTCATGTGTGTGTGTGTGTTACCATGATGGCCATATCTCACCTGATCTGATACACTGCCCGCTGAGGAGCGGCGACGCAGACAAGAACCTCGTCCTAACTGTGATGACGACCCAGAAATACCCAAACCAGGTGCTGAATATGATAACCTGCTTCCTCCATGTTTCAGGGTAGCCACCTCCTTCCTTGTTGGTGTAGCAATATCTGCTGTTAAGGTGTCTTCTTCATCCACCCGATGCAGACCTACAGGGTCTCCTTCAGTTTCTAAACGAAATTTCTGTTCCTTTTCCTTGAACGTGACTGGATCTTCGTATGTAGTTTTCCACAGACCCAGAGACTTCAGCATGTACCTACAATACATAGCTCACTAATATACACATCATTATTTCACACAGATCACAATGCTGATAGATAGGATCCTTATAAATGACAAATTATAAAGGGTATGGAAAAAAGAAAACATGGTCTGTTTCAAAGCACAATCCTAGCATTTTAACATGGAGACTTTAAAGCCTGGTCTCCAAGAAATTAAGTCAGAAGCACTGACCTTCAAATAAATAAGTTTATAATATAGAATACTAAAAATGAATGGCAAAATATTTTACTGAGTTGTGAACAGTGTACACAGATTATCCCCTTTGTATGACCCTTCATTATTCGCTCCTATGAAAATAAAGTCTCACACAAACTTTAACACTGATCTACTCCCCTACAGCATATATATATACAGAACCTCTCCAGGTTATGCCAGACTCATCTTAGGCAATTCCAAGTTCATATAAAAGCTCTGAAAATAAAATGAAGTTGCATGTAAAAATTTGTCATTAGGTAAGCAGACTATGTAAATGGCAGAGGATGCCTAGGTAAATTTCATGATCACCTTTATTGCAGAGTGTCAGTATTCCTCAGATCTTCATCTCTTGTTGAGTTGACTGCATGCAGCACACACAGTAATTTGTGATATACATAAAATTCAACATACAGATGGCTAAAACAAATCCTTACATAAGCCAGGGACTTTCTGTAATTATTAGCTACAAATAAAGGGTCCATTTTCATAGCACACTTTTTAATTTCTCTCAAACTTTCAACAAATAATTAATTTAGATGACTTCTATTACTACCATTTACAATATCCTTGAAAACTATTTCTTCATGAAAGAGCCTCCATTTTTCAATAACAGCCTCTGCTCCCCAGCTGAAGGTTTCAACACATCCTATAAAATAATTTATACAACATATTTTGCTTTACCACATACAAAAGACTGGTACTTTCCTAGCTCCTCCTACAGCCCCTTCAGTTTCTACAACTCTAAACTCCACCATGCCATTCACTTATACCTTTCTTACTGTAGCAGCCAATTATTTTCTTCTTCCTCCAATTCTCTTTAATCTCATATATATAAAAGTCAGTCCTTTAGGAGTTTTATCTTCTGGGATATAATGCCACGTAGTCTGCTGAATATTGACTGACGTTTTGAAGTGATATGTTCCTCCAAAACGTTGGTTGACTTTCAACAAACTATACAGTGTTCAAAGACAGAATTCTTCATAATAAGAGCTGTAAGAAATCCTACAGTTCTTTAACAAGTTAGCATCAGTGGGATCCAGTACTTTGACGTCTGAGAGCTGGCATCAACAAAGTTGAGTGATGCCATTCTGTAATGGCATATTTTGAGCAATATTCAAATAAACTCTTTTAATGCATCACAATTTTGAGTTACATTACACCTGAAATCTATCATAACATTTGTTCTAAGAGTGAGTGTTATATTACTTACCAATTATGAGTAACACATATCTTTAAAGAAAATTCACATTTATAATTTATGTAAAGTTTGGAAAAGGTCTTTTCTCTGCTGAAATGTAAAGAGCTGTATTTAGAAAGTTGCAGATTAACTATTAATGAAATACTTGAAAGTTTCATGTGCCAAAGTTTTATCAGGTAATAACAAAGGAGATTGAACGTTCATGTCACAAACTGACCTGGCATTATGCGACCCAAGTTACCCTTTCATTTACAAAGACGACAATTTTCATTATACAGGCTCCTGTTACAGCAGATTGAATGAGAAGAGTTCAAGGGACAGAAGAAAGGAACTGCGAGATGAAGCTCAAAGAAATGATTTTCCCTTAGGGACTAAACCTGCACATTCCCAAATTTCGTAGTTTACCACAGTCCATCCAAGAAACTGCCAAGATGGTACCATAAAATAGCCCATGTCACGTTTTCTTTATTCTACAACCCTGCCCCCTCCCCCAAATCATTATAATAATATTTTGGTTTATGATTTGATACTAAACTAAGTTTGTAGTTTATAGCAAACCTAACAGTCTCATATTCAAAAAGGTCAGTGTATCAAATTATTATTACTGAATTTATTTATAACTCTTAATGAAAGTTCTTAAGATAACAAATATGTGAATTGGGCTAGTATACACTTTTTTGTTCCTTATAAGGTTTACAGTTATGGATGTGTGAAATATGTTGAATAAACATATATATTTTTATTATTATATAACCCAGCAGGTTGGTGCAATGGTAATGTTCAATACATGTATTAAGGAAGAGCTTGGTCTGAATATTGGCTGGGACATTGTCTTTCTTGAATGAGGATTTTCATGGTTTTCCTCAGTCCATCCATGCAAATTCCAGGACAGTACCTCAATTAGGACCGGTTCACTTCCTTCTAAATCCTTTCTAATCCATTACTTACCAACCATCCTGCCACTTGGCACTATATGTGCTAATATACTGACAGCATTATAAAATACACCACATAAAAATGTATTATGCAGATCCTAAAAGTCACCAAGTAAGCATTTCTTACTGTCGTCTAACTTGTGTTGATATAACTGAAATGTCTTCAGTCTGTATGAAATAACAATATATTGTATAACATGTGAAGACTTTCCAATGGGAATTGTACTAGTAGCAGATCAAAAGGCAAATAAAGGAATTTCAGCCAAATATAGAAAATATTTTATCTCAATAGTTTTTGAAGTTTTACAGTTCCTTGAAATCTGCAGATCATCTGGCCAAATATACACCTAGTCTAAACAAGATAATTTATGTGAAACTCTATTTATCAAATTATCAGTCACCTGATTATTTATTTCATAACTTATAAATTTCTGAATATATTTCAGTTATTTGGCATGTGGCATCATTTCCTAAAAATTCTGACCATAGTCTTGGACTTTCTGTTATATTTTATTTCTGTCATACATCTTGGAATACTGAAAATCTCAAAAACTCCCATGAATTACATTCATTTCCTTCGACATGTCATGCATTCCTATTTAAAATCCGTACATCATATGACCAACTTCAGAGAGATTTTCTTCTAGACAACTTTCAGTAAAAGCCTATAATGTCACAATTTAAAAAAAATCTCTTTAGGGGCTGATACTAGGTCACACAAATGGACAGAGAGACAGGACCTCTACATAAAACATTCTCTTTTTAATTGCTAAAAAACATCTAATATAGTAAACCCTTGTCCAACATGGGGGATACATCCCTCAAAAAGCAGCGCGTTTGGTGAATCGGCATTGGACAAACTTAATGGAATGTGAATGTCACCTGAGGTTAATAATTACACTATTACACCTGCTGAATAAAACAAACCAAGTTGATTACATAAACACATACAAAAAATAAATAAAATGTTTTGAGATTTTAAACAGTACTGATATTTTTTGTATAGTACTACAATGTGTTTGAGAGAACATGCATAACGGAATTTTGTTCATTCGGCAAACAACCGTTTGCAACCATTTCCATACATACAATTGAATCCATGTAGGAGTAGGTTTTTTTTTCCTTGGCACTACAGCCCCAGTGGGCCTAGGCCTACCTCCATGAACTCCGTTCACTTCGGTTTTTCTAGATCTTACACATATGGTAGGACTCCTTGGGCAAGTGATCAGCTCGTCACAAGGCCTCTACCTGTACACAAACACAGAAAAACGCACACAAACATCCATGCCCTGAGTGGGATTCGAACCCACGATCCTGGCTTCCGAGCGAGCGAAGACAGTGCATGCCTTAGACCGCTCAGCTAGGAGTAGGTTTGCTGTAACTTATAACAAGCACAGTTTTGTCTTATCCACTGTGCACAAATTTCTTTAGGCTTCAACTTAAATAAATGGTCACACCATACTACAATTTAAGATGGGTGAACCAACAACGATACTGGTAAAATAGGAATGTATAAAAAAATGACAGATACCAACAAAGGCAATATCAGAACATGGGAAAGAGCCATTTTCCCACATAAATCAAGGTTGTCAATTCTCATTTGTAATATGATACAATAAACACAAACTGAGGTTTTCCTCAGTTCCTCCAGGAGAATGAGGGACAGTACCTCAAACAACACCATGACTACTGTCTTCCACGTCATTTCAAATTTACTATTCACAAGTCATCATACCACTGAACGCTACACGCTCCAAGATATATTAACAACATTGTCAAATAAATCACAAATAAATAAAACAAACTGAAATCACACTGTTGTCCAAAACAGTAACATTTCTCTAACCTATGAGGCACATCTGATATGTGTGCGCATTCTGTACAGTGTGAATAATGTGAGTAATGATTCAGGTCACTTCATTTTACCTGTGAAAAAATATGATGAGCAGCAGGAATAAGTCATATGTTGCATAGTTCGGTTTGCTCTCAATTCCAATGATTCGAGGGGGGAAGAATGGGTTCTTCTCAATTACCTCGGTTCCATTCCATGGCAAGAACTCAAATTGAAACATCCACTTCACAATCACAATCACCTACATAAACACAAATATCACTGATGACCCTGAAGATGTAAGAAACTACATTCTGTCATCAACCATTCACATGATAATTAAGCAGACCTGGAAGCAATGAGAATTCTGCCATATTCATAGGCTACAGAACTAAAAGGACCAGGGCATTCAAAATCTTTATCATCACAGATAGTTACAAATTGTTATATACATTATGGTGCTGTAGGGAGGTGGATGGTTCTATGTGCTTTTAAACTTTTATCTATGCATTAGTCACACTTCATACTCAACAAGTCTGCTCCCTTTTGTGTAACATGTTCCTGACCTGCAGGCTTACCTCCTTTCAATGCCTGGCAATTGCCTTCACAAAGCTACTCTACTGTAGCTCAAACAGAGACAAGAAATTAACAGCACATTTTGGTTGGAAAAAGTTACAAAGTCACAAAAGTAACNACTTAAATTTGAGGAAGAAACTAGTGAAATGCTACATTTGGAGCATAGCTCTGTATGGGGCTGAAACATGGACACTTAGGGCAGTAGATCAGAAACATCTGGAAAGTTTCGAAATGTGGTGTTGGAGAAGGATGGAGAAGATCAGTTGGACCGATTATGTGAGAAATGAAGAAGTGTTAATTAGAGTCAGTTAGCAGAGGAATATCCTACATGAAATAAGAAAACGGAAGGCTAATTGGATTGGTCATGTTTTACACAGAAAGTGCCTTCTAAAAGAAGTCATTGAAGGAAAGATAGAGGGGCAGATAGAAGTGACAAGAAGACGAGGAAGAAGACATAAGAAGATGCTGGATGACCTTGGGGACAGAAGAGGATACTGTCATTTGAAGGAGAAAGCTCTAGATTGCAATAAGTGGAGGAATTGTTTTGGAAGAGACTGTGGCCCTGTCGTCTGACAGATTACTGATGATGATGATGACCTATCAGAAAGCAACCACTTTGAAGGCTAAGAAGATAGAGGAAAATACTAAAGAGAGACTAGAGAAATAGATTTGGAGTATGGGAAGTAGCTGGATATGGCCAAGGTTTGTGTCTAATGGTAAACCTGGGCATTAGTGGTGCTAAACTTATGGGCTCTGCTACAAGAGAGTTCGTTTGTTTCTTGGTCAGTTTCTAAAGATAATGTTAGTGCCCTGTATATACCTAATTCTTAATTCAAGAAGTCCCTTTCACTTGAGCATGGTAACTAAGGAGAAGCACATGTATGTATTACATTTAACAAAGTAAAATAAGAATACTACTACTTTCTGGGATGTGATGCAATGTAGTGTAGTAGAAGTTCATTCATATTCCTCTGAGACACAGGTCATCACCCAGGCAGTCTATTTCCTCAAGATTTTCCAACCAAAATTTTGTATGCATATCTCATCTCCCTTAAGCATGCTTTATGTTCTTTCCCATCTCATTCTCAGTATAATCACCATGAAAACAACTGATTATGGACCTCATTACATAATATTCTCCATCCTCTTATTAATACTCGTACCACCTTATTGGTTCCAACTGAAAGTGATCAAAATATAAAATATTAATTTCACTGACGTAACTTTCCATTTGTTCAATCTCTAACAAAATGTCAAAAATGTATTTCAGCCTCATAAAGTGTCAGTCCTTTGTGTGAAATTTATAAGTAGGTCCTGCTTCTCTAATGAACTGTAGTATGGACTCAACAGCATTTCATTAAATGAAAGGTCCCATCAAAGGTTATATTTATGACCAAATTACACATTCTGAGAAACTGGGAATAGAAGGTGAAACACTCCCACATAATGAACATCTTTCCACTGGTTCACAGTAAATTGTAAAGTTCATATACCTCAGTGTAAGCAATCATGGTGACCCAGAAGGTTTTAGTGGGTCTTGGAATTGTGAGTGTTCCCCATAAAAACACCATGAGTGGCAGTGGCAGAGACAAGATGGTGGCCGACTTAATCTGATAGAGGAACACCATGAAGTAACACACAAGGTCTGAGTGTGAGATGATGGCAAACCACAGGGCCAGGACAAGTCGCACAATGGGAGCCTGGTCCTTGGCACTCAGCTCCTGTGTTTCATCCATCTGTTCAAGACTCACTGGAGGCTGCTGGCTACAAAAATGTTTAAAATTATCTCACAGTGATGTCCACACTTTACAAGACTAGCATTCATTAAACATGGCACTGAACAGATTTACATTATTCTATAACCTTTTCCCTGCTCATGACATGTCAGTAAAACAGTTCTGATAGACCACCACAATCCTATCTGACCAGTGCATACAAGGTGGTTTTCTACCATCTGCAATTTATACATTAAAGAGATGAAACCACAATGTAAAATATTTGGTTTCCCATACCTTATGTCACCTTGGGCACAAATATCTGTCACTGTTACATTATTCAAACCCTGTGAAACATGCGGGACATTTCTGTATAGTCAACAGCACTACACTTTGCAGTAAAAAAGTTAGAGATGATTAAATCCTAATATAGATGGGCAATGCAAGAATATGTGCTGCATATAATTCTTTATCTTATTGTTACTTCCAGCATTTCAAATGCAGTGACAATCACTTTTTGAGTTTGATGTGTGTGCAATTTCACAATCAATTATGCTGTTCTAAAAGCAAACATTCTGTCAAGATGTTCCATTCAGAAACAATGTTAATGCAAAAAGTTTGCCATAGTACTAAAATGCCTAGACATATACTATTAACCCTATAAAATTTATAACCTGTCAAGTTATCAAGGAAGTTTAGGGGTACGGGGTATGAGGTGCAACAAAGAGCCAAATTTGTCTTAATCCTCTGCTGCATTTAATGCAGCAAAAAGTGATTAAATGCTGTAACCATGCTTAATATCACTGTACTAAAAGTAATGAATGGTAAGGTAAGTTATCCCTTGGCTTAATTAATTAGGAACCAAGTGATGAAGACGTACAGGGGAGTAAAGTACAGCTCCATCCTTAGCCTTGGCACTAGATGGAAGTGGGTAGCAAGCTTTAAGCCCCTGCTGCTTTACCCCCAAAGAAAACAGCCCCCTAGTACCTACTGTACAGGAGGATGGGTGGGGCCCATAATTTATCTGGATGTAATGCAGAAGAGAGAAATCTTTCGCCCCTTCCAGGAATTTAACTCTCTAACTGAGCTATTGCGGCTCACAAAAATACATGAATGAAGAACATTTAAATTAAAAGATCTGATATCATTAGGATATGGTGAATTTAAATGGTAAACAGAAGAGATAATGCTAATTTCACCTTTAATGTTTTACATTTTCACAACTGAAGCTCTTACAGACAAAACAAGACAGTATAACATTAAGAATGAAGAAAATAACTGTACCATCAAATTTTTAACAGTAGTTTTTAAATTCAACACCTGAAAGTTTTTTGCTGATTTGTTATTGTGTATAAAGTCATTAGTCAATTAAACAAAAATACCTGAGATTTGAGGTTCACATAGCAGTAATTATAAAGACTAAAGCCTTCTAAGGTGTGATGTTGTGTTGTCTGGTAAATGTTTACTGACACTTCAGAGGAATGTGCTGCCCTCACTACTATGAAGATGAAGGCAGCAAGTTCCTCTGAAATGTTGGCAAACATCAGACTAGACAGCAACATAATCAAGAAGACATTAACCTCATTAGAACTGTCACTAAATCATATTTCTGAAAATTATGACACATATTAAGTTGTGATCCTCAGTGATGTGATGCCATCTAGTTTGGCATCAAGGGAGTAAGCAACGGCATTTCTAACTGGTTTGTGAATGATCTCTAATGTAAGGCAAAGGTAAAGCTGTCCCTGTGCTTAAATTATTAAGCACTATGCCATGAAAGCATATGGGGAAGTGGATGTATAGATCCACATTTTCTTGACCTTGGCACTAGCTGGAGTTGAGTGGTTGCTTTCATGCCCTGGCCACTTTACTTCCAGGGAAAAAGCCCCTGGTACCCATTGGATAGGAGGATGAGTGGACCCAGAGACGGTCTAGACAAAGTGGAGAAGAAAAATTCTTGACTAGGCTGGGATTCGAACTCCGACCTCTCGGTCATCCAGCCATAACTAGTTGCCATACCAACTATGCTATTCAGGCTCCTGTAAGGAGTAAATTCTAAAAACAGAGCCATTAAATTATCAATGAATACAAAAAATAATATTTCAAAGCTGAAGGAAAACAGGGTTGTGTATACAGGAGTGGGAGCCCAAAGAAAGTCAACATTTGACACCAGCTGAAATGAATATGGACTAGAAACTATAGGATATGAAGTGGGTCAATAATATGGAATTTATGAAAGCATCTAATTCTTTTACAGCCAATGTTCATGTCCCATAATTTAGCATGTTAAGTATCATAAAATATGGATGCCAATGGTAAATCCTGAAAATCTAATTCTAATTAACTCTATGAGCTTGTTTTGTAACAGAGTAAAACTTTTAATTAAATAACAGTTTTAATTGGATGCACACTTCTTTACTCTTACACCAGAGAGCAGGTCTGTAACAAACATTTCTTGGAGGACATTAATGTGAAAATTCCAAATCTGGAAGCTATAAAACCAAGTGGCTAGTGTTATATTCTTCTATTCCAAGGTTTATACTATCTGGCTGTTTCAGAAGCTGACTTGATTTTCAGGCTTCAAAGCAACAAATAATTATGAAGGAATACTACATTTATTTGGCAGGTAAGGCTCTTGAATCATATTTATTAGCCACCATCAATGAAGTGCTGGAAGGAGGTGAAGCCTCACATAAAAAACACAGCCACTATAATGTGCTGGCTAGTAGAGCATGTTAAACAATCAGCTGGGGTGACAGACAAGTATGCAGCATAGGTAGAATGATAACTACCATGTGAATACCAAGCTCTTAGGAAAAGCCTTTTCCAGTGCCACTCTGTTCACAACACATACGACATAATTACCATAGAATTAAACACCGGCATGTGGAAAGCATTTCACAGCCACTAAACATACCTGAGCTGAAATCTATCATTAATACTACACTTAAGAGGTAATTTAATTTACATGTGCAATATTAATATGTATACATATAAACATTTTTATGTAGGAGGTAAAACATTCATAAATGTTGAACAAGAAATATTATGTATGGTTCTGATATTTCAAGCAGTTATAACAAATTTATCATATTCTTAAAGCTTGTGTTATAATTCTGAAGTGATACATGAAGGTGTGTATATATAGAACGTCTATAATTACTATGGTGCCCTGATAAGTGGAACATGGTGTCTTGTTACTGGTGGTTTTAACATGCAGCAAAGTTTTTAACTAAAGCGTAGGATGGCCATAATGTCCTAGGACAAAGAAAACCTAAAATCATGGTAACAGTGAATGTACTAATGACAGTCCACCCTTAAAATGACACATTTTCTCTGCTGGTACATGCTCCTATACTACACATACCACATTCTATGTATGAACACAGGCAACTATACACTTTGCACATTTAACAGTATCTCAGTGATGGCAAAATGGGAAAAAGGCTACATGTCATTTTGCTGAATTTTAAATTCCACAGCAAAGACTTAATTTTTACGTTAATTATTCCCCCACAAAAACAAGTTGTACATAAAATGAGTAACATACAGAAAAGCTGTTACCAGTGTTGGGGCGCATTATTTACTGTAAGAAGTTTTATGGTATAGCATTTAAGTAACAGCATGCCAGGTAATTATGGATAGCATGAAAAAAAAATGGTTATATGCATAAAGGAGGTTTGCAGCTCAACTTTCTTGTCATGGTGACTGACAACAGATTTGTTATCAGTGGTATATAAAGTCTAATGCTCTCACAACACCAAACTTTCACGTTAACAGACCACCAAAGCGGTTGCATTGCTCAGCTTCAAAATCAAACAGAACTGATACTGCACTCTAATGACTGCAGGATACTGATGGATCTGCAGGTCTTTTTAACTAACTTCATGGTACAGTGTCTTTCTCAAGCAACTGATAGTCACACAATTATAAAACCTGAATAATCATTTCTATGTCCACAGATGTCTGCCAATCAGTCGAGCTACTAGAATCCAATCCACCATACCAAACTATTTTTCTATAATCCATTTTAACATTATCCTCCCATCTACAGACTGATCTCCTTATTAGGGACCTGGCATACAGGAGCAAGGAATATAATCTAAATGAATACAATTTGAGAACCGATAATGGCATGGCCGTTATGATGAAAATAACTTATTGTTAGAGTAAAAGATTGTGTGGGCAGTTACTGAAACTTCCACAGAACTGTGAATGATTATAAACAAGCTTCAGACCAATAACCATCTTACACATAACTATAGGGAGGCATATTTAGAGGCATTTTATAAGGAAAATGCAAGTCAACAGGAAAATCTATACAGAAAGGTCTGTCCATCAGTCCACCTATATTTAATCACCTATATAATTTAGTGGATATGAACGATATTTGGTAGATAATCAACACTAAAATGAACTGTGTGAATTTCATCTCGGTTCTGATTGGTCAATCAGATCACTTTACACCAAAGTAAAAACAAAACCTTTTTTGTAACCCAAATAAAAACTCTTTCAAGGTAAATATTACAGATATTACAATAACAACATATGCACTAATGCCATGGACCACAGCTATTCCTACAAAATGAGTTGCTGCTCAGCTAGTGAAGAAATTCTATGACTTTTAAGGAACCTGAGGGTCCATTACTGTGTTTAGAAGAGCCTGCCAATGTACCCAAACTTGACTTAAATCAATCCAGTCCCCACCCTATTTCTTTAAGATCCATTTTCTCCGAGTACTTTGGTTTCTCCTGCCAATCTTCATTCCACCAAATTCTCCATCATCATAATCACCCGGGGCAAGCTACAATAGGCCATTCAGTGGCCACTGTGCTGAGTGGATCCAGTTAGACTCCACCCCCACTAAGCAAATTAATTTTCAATGGACTATAAGGCGTTATATCCCAGAAGACAGAACACTTCATAACCACCGCTGTGAGAACCTCAAATCCTACACACCAGTTTTTTCTTCCAGTCACTGATAGTCTGCTTGGCAATTCTTTTTCATATTTTGCAGGCTGTAACAGGTCCTATAAATGATGTTCAGAA